GCAATGACTCTACATCAAAATAAATTCATATTATGAAGTACTGAGTTGTAACTTCAACATATGGATTTTAGGCCAACACAATTCAACATGTCACCAAATTTATGGAATAATGCCTAGGTAAAGATTACATGAAACTGTCATGGCTGTGTAATTGAACCATAAGTTGTTACCGCTTGTCCTTCTCACCCCAACAATGGAAACAAATCTACCCAGCAAATGTTTTAATTCTATGGCATTATTATACACTGAAGGATTTGAGGAAAAAGTTAAAAATCCTTCTCAATTTTACAACAGGGATGTTATGGGTCAATTGCTAGTTATACAATAGTGTCTTATTGGTACATATGAAGATTCATTGAGGACACTTTATAGGTGTCTGCTTTAAGAATATTTGTGCTCTCAAGAAAAGTATTAATTGATATTTTCTACATGTAGGAAATGTGACTCACATAATGAACAGTAAGTTTGTTATTTGTCTTCTGTAAACTATAATTATGTAATTAATTTGAGCTCTTTTACAAAAGTATATTGACTGTGAGCTAACATTTTTAGCTTTATTCTATTATGTCTGCTTTCATTGATCTCTCTTTGTTCAGTTATTTGTTATTTTGAAATAGTGTGTGCATTTCGTATGATGTTTTAGCTCTTTCTGGAAACAAATGGAGTTTATGAACCATGTAAGTGCTCTAAACTGCATTAAACATATAAGCATGCAATATATAAAATTATATCAAATAATTAAAGATATATTAGAGTGTCATCAAATATTTAAATTCAGTAAACATGTAAGTAGAAACACTTTTCTATTTGTACATTGTGTTCATGTTATTCTGTGACTTTTTTTCTATTTTAATTGTGTTTTCAGTTGCATTCATAGAATGTTCTGCTCTTGTTCATGAATGTTTTTTTAAAGCAGATGAATCTTATGTTCAGAACTGTAGTAAGTAATTATTTCTGTCCTTTTCCATGAAGAATATCAGAGACACATTTTAAAAAGTATCTGCATCACTCAAAATGTTATTTATCCAATACTCTTCCTTAATATCATTTGTGACTAATGAGATGGATTTGTCTATCACTCCTTATCTTTAAAGATGGTAGACTTATCTTTAAAGATGTGACTCAGAAGTTTTTAAATGAAACATCATAGGCTATTCCACAGACAAGTGCCAAGAAGGACACTGAAGATATAAAAATGCTATGCTATCCAGTTTCTGTATCAGATTTTAAATATATCCAACAAAACTCAAATATAATGTAAATATAGTTACTTGGATGCACATTAAAATATATCGTAACCTAAAGATGTTCCAACAATTAGGATAACCCAAAATTCATTTTTAACTTTTTATAATACAAAAGTAATATACATTTTCATAAGAAAAATATAGATGTGTCTAGAGTGAAAAATTTAGAAAATATTAAGAAGCTTTTGTTTCTCTCCTTTTTTTTTTTTTTTTTTTGACAGGCAGAGTAGACAGTGAGAGAGAGACAGAGAAAGGTCTTCGGTTTTCCATTGGTTCACACCCCAGTGGCCGCTGCGGCTGGTGCCTTGCGCACCATGCTGATCCGAAGCCAGGAGCCAGGTGCTTCTCCTGGTCTCCCATGGGGTGCAGGGCCCAAGTGCTTGGGCCATCCTCCACTGCACTCCTGGGCCACAGCAGAGAGCTGGACAGGAAGAGGAGCGACCGGGACAAAAGCCGGTGCCCCAACCGGGACTAGAACCAGGATGCCGGCGCAGCAGGCGGAGGATTAGCCTATTGATTCACGGCACTGGCCTCTCTCCTCTGTTTTTAATGTCTCAATATTTGAATGCTCATATGTGTGAATGTCTACATGAAAACACATTTTTTGTAATACAAAAACTACAGCATTTTCAATGAGCAGCATGCTATACTGATGATAATTCCATTTCAATGTATTTTTCATAGGTTCTAGAATTTTATATTTTCAATCAAAATGTCAAATAAGATACTAACCATGATTATCAAGGTAAGACTGTTAGTGGCTTTTACTTCTGAAGTAGGTAGGCATACAGGTTAAAATTGATCAGATTTGTGAACTGGAAGACCACGCCTCCACCACGTCACTGTGTGACTTCACGCCCTGCCTGAAACCTTCACCACGCCATGTGGCCTCATCTCCCTACCTGGCCACACCTGGGTGCCCACCAGCCAATCAGGTTAATTAACCACTCCCCTTTGGAAGTGGGTTAAAAGCCAGGCCATGGTGTCGCCCTGCCTGCTCTTCTTCCCTGGCCTCTTGTCAGGAGGGGGCTTGCTGTAGCCCCCATGCCTCCAGGGCGCATGGCCTTTGGGTCATGTGCTCTAGGCTTCCTGGCCTAGATGCTCTTCCACGTGGCTGGTTCCTGGTGCTCCATATGGATCCCCATTCACTTCTCTCTCTTAAATAAAGCTCTCACTCTCCTATGCATCTTTCTCACTAAATAAAAACTTAAAACGTACCATGCTGCCTCCTTTATCTGTGCCAATATTTAGAATTCTTCTCTAAATATTAGGCAAGAATCCTCTTGGGCTTATTAATATTGGGGATTTAGTAATAAGCCCGTGGTGAAATCGTAAGGCACCCCAAATTCCGGTAGCACATGTGGCACCCCCGGATAGCATTCCTGGGGAACTTTAAGGGGCCACATTTCAGCGTAAATTTTAGGGGGTCTTGTCCAATTTCACTTCCAGATCTCCAAACAATATTCTTCCATGTGTTTAATTAGAATAATTAAGCAAATTTCAAAACTAAAATTGTTTCAATTTGCCTTTGGTTTTCTATTTTTCACCTTTAGATTTGATCTAACTTAGTTTTTGTCTGCAAATATTTGATTTTTGCTCACTTTTTGACATCACTTTCCCCCTTTCTTTTAGGATCTTTTCTGATTTATTTTTAGACTACTAAGATTCCCCTCTTCTCTATTATTTTCTTCATGAAATGAGGAAATACATTTTCTTTCTTTTGATTCTATGGGTTAAGAAAATGCCATCAGTAATATTTTATTAAAACTTTTTGAATACTACGCTTAGATAATAGAAATGCAATAAACTAGGGTAGTATATTCAGAAAAACTGCAAAAAAATCAAGATCTCCCATAGAAAAAAAGGAAAAAATGAAACATAGCAAAACAGGGGCAGGTATTTAGCTCTGTGGTTAAGTCACTGCTGGGGAATCAGAGTGCCTGTTTTGAGTCTCAGCTACTCTTCTTCCATTCCATCTTCGAGGGCATCCTGGAGGGCAGCCGGTTATAAGTCGAGGGCTAGTTTTCCTGCTACACACATGGTAGTGCTGATTGCAGTTCCAGGCTCCTTTCTTCAGCCAGGCCTAGCCAGGCCTAGCCAGGCCTAGCCAGGCTATTGGGGCCAGCAGAAAGAAGTGTGCTCACTAGTGAGCTCTCTCTCACTCTCTCTCTCTTTATATTTCCTTCTGTCTTTGTCTTTCAAATAAAATGACAATGAACAAATTAAAAATTAAAAAAAAAAAACAATGAAACAACCCCACAAAAGCACAAAATGAAGAAAAGGAGAAAGATAGGGAGAATCTTAGCGCATTTTATATTTCTCTCTTGCCTCTCCATCTCCATCCCTTAGGTAAGGCAAGATCTTGGCAGGAATTTTCAGGTAAGATTAAACATGTCTCCTACTACTGATAGACCATTGAAGGAATGTCCTCAAATGTATTAGATATGTATGTATATTAATTACAACTAGTCACTCCACTTTCCAAATAAGAAAACAAGTTCAGAAGTGTTGAACAGCTACCTCTAATTCTACGTTGAATGGGAAATCAGATATTCAAAGCAGTTGTCCTTCTTCAGAAAGGCAGAATTTAAAAACTTCAACATCTCAATGGATTCAGAAAAAGTATTTGATAAAAACTTAACAAGTTAGGTACAGAAAGAATATTACACAACAAAGACCATATATGGAAAAACATTATTCTCAAAGGGCTAAAGTTGAAAGCTTTTTTTCCAGGATCTGGAACAAGAGTAGGATATCTGCTTGCACTTTTCTTATTTAACATAATACTAGAAGCCTTAGCCAGGGCAATTAAGTAAGAGAAAGAAATAAAAGATATCCAAATAGAAAAGGAAAAAGACAAATTATTCCTGTTTGGAGGTGACACAATTTTACGTAGATAAAACATAAAAAACACTGATGAAGAAATTCAGCAAAGTTGCAGGAAACAAAATCAATATACAATAAACAATATAGCTTTTATGTACCAATAATGGACTTGGTGAGAATGAAGAAAGCAATGCCATTCACAATAGCCACAACATAGATTTCTTAAGAATAAATTTAATTTCAGCAATATACACAAAATCAAATGAACGTATCAAAGTGATAGCTGTCCTTCCTTTTTTACTGAAATACTGTTCACATTAGCCAAGACATGGAATCAACCTACGTGCCCATCAGCATGTGAATGGATAAAGATGTGGTATATATTCACAAATGGAATTTTATTCAGTCACAAAAATAAGAAACTCTGGCATTTGAGACAAAATGGATGGCTGTGGTGGATATTATGTTAAGTGAAATAAACTAACAAAAAGGATAAATACATGTTCTTACTCATATGTGAAAGCTAAGAAATTGATTTCAAATAACAGAGTAGAATATTGATGACTAGAAGCTAGAAAAAATAGGGTGGATTAAGTGAGGTTGGATGGAAAAATATAAGTGTTCTAGTGTTCCACAGCACAGTAGGATGACTATAGTTTGCGACAGAAGTATATATTTTATTTAAGAACTAGAAAAGGGGAGTTTGGCAGCTCCATATACACAAAAAAAATTGTGAGATAGAAACGCTAAAGATTCTGATTCGATCATTACACAATGTCTGCATGTTTTACATGATCAAAACATCCCCTGCAAGTATGGATAGTTACTTCATGTTAATTAATTGTAAAGTAAAATAAAAACCTTGCTTTCCACTAGGTCAGATAATAAAGCTTCAAACTGTGATTAGCTTTTCTTTTTTCTCTGCAGAACAGACAACATTAGATGGCAAATCTCTCGTCGCTCAGTGAGATCACTAGCTTTCTGAAGAGTTGGAAGTTTGGGAAAATATTGCAACTAAAGGAGAGCAGAGTTATGTGATAGGACATCAAAAAAGATGTAAAAGGCTGCTTGAAACAACTCGTTTCAAAGCATGAGAGGTCTGTGGGACTGTGCTGCTGGCTTGAAGAATTGCTTGAGGAAAAGTGTGGTGATGAAAAACTGTGTTCTCTGCTCCCTTAGTTCTTTCTTCAAGGAAGTCTCAATGAGTTCAAAACTGAAGCAAAGCCATTCTTACCAGAGGTTTCAATCAGGGAGTATGTCACAGGCGCTTGGATGCAGTCCCCTATTCCCACCATCCTTTTATGAGTGACACAGATTCTGAGACGTGGAGGCTGTGCAGTGCTGTATCAAAGGGCTTCAACTGTCAATACACTTGTCAGTGAATGATTCAACCCTATCTGCTATATCGCAACCTCAGAATACTGCAATGAAATATATGATCACACATGAATAAACAATTATTTGCACAGTAGCATGCTATTGTTCCTGTTTATTAGTCATTCTATATAAAACTATCTACTATCTTGATTGTCATTGAGCTATTTATATAACTCAACACACACAGTTCAAATGTTAGTGTAGCTTAATAAATAATTTTTGGACAGTGCTAACATTAAAGTTATAGACTGCAGGGCAGGAGTCACAAGATTTTGGGGGAAGGGGGTCTGATGTTTAAGTAGAAAATCAATGTTTTTTTTGCCTTCCTTTTGTTTTGTCTTATTTTAAATCGTATTGTACTTAAGAAAATGGATCTTTTCCTGCTAAAGGAGGAATTAAACTATTCCAAAATTCAAGAAAGTTCAGAGAGGATGCTAAACAGAAAGAGAGTAAATAGGAGTTCTGGAGGAGAGGCACGGGGAACGGTATATCCACAGTAAAAGCGAACCATGCATTTTACAGAACATAAGGTTTAAATGCCTATATGTATCTGCTAAGAGTGCTAATAAAAGTGCACTACTCAAGAAGGCACTGAACATTTTCCGTGAATGAGGTATAAAACCCTGACATTTAATGGAAGTGGCCTTTCTGATGGAGATTGCTTTTGGGCAAGAACATTAGAGGGTACACCACAAGCCAAAAGTTATTGGACAAAAGGACCAAAAAAAGAAAACACAGCTCTACTACCATTGTATAAAGTTTATATAATGATTTTATTCAGAGATGGAATTTTACTAAGTCTCTGTACTAGGGGCTTGAAAGTTAAAAATTAAATTTTTCTGTGTTAACTTATATAGGGCTACTTTGTTCTCTGTGTGTTAACCACCTCTATACAATTCTCATTTTTTTTAATTAAAAAAAATTGTATTTACTTAGAAGCATTCAGAATGTCAACAAAACAGCTGCAACTTTTTTTTTTTTTGCAATTACAGAGTGGTATTCAGTTAATAGAACAACAATTATTTCGCATAAGCTGCATCAGAGACAACTGAAGATGAAAAAACTACCGTCCCCATATATAACTAATTTGTGCTGTGCACCAACAAGAACCTGCTTTAAATTTCCATGCCAATTTACAACCCCCATACTGTACCAGGCAAGGTTAGTGGCTATTGAAAATACCACCAGGACAGGGCTATCTAAAGACACATTCGGTAGTGTGTTAACTATACAAAAAAAGACACTGTACAGTTTAAAAACAAATCTTACACAGCCTTACATTTCAATTTTTTTTCTTTAAAAGGAGTGAGTTGTGTACAGGGGGGTTAAATGCTTTATAGACAAGAAAAAAAACTGTGCTAGAACCAACTTATTCATCATCATCTTCTTCTTCTTCATCTTCATCTTCCTCATCTTCCTCTTCCTCCTCTTCCTCCTCATCCTCTTCATCTTCTTCATCCTCCTCCTCTTCCTTCTTTTTCTTGCTCTTTTCAGCCTTGACGACTCCCTTTTTCACTGCATCAGGTTTTCCTTTAGCTCGGTATGCAGCAATATCCTTCTCGTACTTTTCCTTCAGCTTGGCAGCCTTCTTCTCGTAGGGCTGCTTGTCATCTGCAGCAGTGTTATTCCACATCTCTCCCAGTTTCTTTGCAACATCACCAATGGACAGGCCAGGATGCTCTCCTTTGATTTTGGGGCGATACTCAGAATAGAACAAGAAAAAGGCCGAAGGAGGCCTCTTGGGCGCATTGGGATCCTTGAACTTCTTTTTGTCTCCCCTTTAGGAGGGATATAGGTTTTCATTTCTCTTTCATAATGAGCCTTGTCCGCCTTTGCCATGTCTTCAAATTTTCCCTTCTCTTTAGCAGACATGGTCTTCCACCTCTCTGAGCACTTCTTAGAAAACTCTGAGAAGTTGACGGAAGCATCTGGGTGCTTCTTCTTATGCTCCTCCCAGCAAGTTTGCACAGAGAATGCATATGATGACATTTTGCCTCTAGGCTTCTTAGGATCTCCTTTGCCCATGTTTAGTTATTTTTCTTTCCTAGATGCCCAAATGGCCACAATGGCTGGAGCTGCGCCCATCGAAGTAAGGAGCTTCTTCCAGGTCTCCCACGTGGGAACAGGGGCCCAAAGGCTTGGGGCCATCTTCTACAGCTTTCCTAGGCCATAGCAGAGAGCTGGATCAGAAGTGGAACAGCCAGGACTCGAACCGGAGCCCAGATGGGATGTCAGCACTGCAGGCTGCGCTTTACCCGCCGCAGCGTCAGCCTCGCCTTTCCTACTTTTAACTTCGCTTTTCAGTGACTTGATATGGCCTATAAAACTTTATACAGGGCACTTCTGGGACGGCTGAGTCACCTGGGCGGTGTCGCCTGCGGGAGGCCATTCCCCAGGCAGTGCGGGGTGTGCTGGTCCTACAGTTCTCATTTTATGCTATTATTTCAGTAGTTGTTGGTTGTCATCATATACACCCGATTCATCTATTCAGTGAATACTCATTGAGCATTTATTGAATATTTACTTGGAAGCCAGAATCATGTTAAATTCTATAGACAGTAATTTATCATTTTAATTAAGATTCTAGTACAAAGAGGAGGGAAAAGGTAATCAGTAAGTGCTTAAGGAAATGTGTCTTGAAAACATTATTTTTGTTATAGTGATTCATTTATTCATAGTATCTGAGAAATCCTGTTTCAGAGTAGTAAAAAGGCTTTCTCTCAATTCAGATGTCAATAATTTAACTAAACTCCAGAAGCATGAAGAGTAAAATCCATGAATGGACTCTTAATACATTTTAAATTCTTAAATGAATGCTGTGTCATCATTTTAATAAGACATTTCTAATGTCTTCCCTTCTTTGCATAGTGCGAACATCCAAAACAGAAGCAAAACACTGCCACAGTCAAATGGGAGTAAAACATTTCCTTTTTAACTAGATTTGCAGTTATAAGTGCAAGAAAAATACACTGTTCTCTGATATTTAAATTGACCCCTTTCCCCCTAGTTGAAACACTGAAATGTAGCAGAATCCAAGCATACATGGTCAGTTTTCCCTGTACAGTGTAGGGGATTTGGTAAGATGAGATATTACTTAATAGGATAAAATGAAAATAAGTTCTTGATGTTTAAACAGAGATCAGCTAAACTGTGGTTAAACCAAGTGCACCAGACAAGAGAGACAATGACAAACTTGGGGCCAGCACTGTGGCGCAGTGGGTTAAAGCCCTGGCCTGCAGCACTGGAATCCAATATAGGTGCCAGTTCAAGTCCCAGCTGCCCCTCTTCCGATCCAGCACCCTGCTAATCCAGCACGGATTCCAGCTACTTCCTGGAACATCAAGAATACTAGTATTTTAAGCTATGCACTCCCTTGAGTGACAGCTCAGCCTGCTTTTTTCTGAGCATTCAGATAAAAATGTAGCCAATCAAGCACCCAGAGCAGCTACACTATGGATTTTCTAAAAATAGTGCAGTCTGGGAAAGAAGCAGAGGATGGCCCAAGTTCTTGGGCCCCTGTACCCATGTGGGAGACCTGGAAGAGCTGCTGGTTCCTGGCTTTGGAATCGGTCCACGCCAACAATTTTGGCTATCTGGGGAGTGAACCAGCAGATGGAAGACCTCTCTCTCTGTCTCTACCTTTATCTGTAACTCTTTCAAATATTTTAAATAAATCTTAAAAAATAATAAAAAGTGGCAAACTCATCAAAACAGGAGTTTTAATGGTATCATTGTTTTCTATATAGTCTTCTGCATAAAAAATAGGACAGGAAAATTATGAAAATTACTGATCATTATGGTATATTTGTCTTATGAGAAGGCCTTCCTGACAAAAGGAAATAAAGTAGCCCTCAACAAACGATATACAGAAACTACTTCATGGATCAGCCACAGACATTTCTCTTTACTACACAGAAATTTGATACATTCCTAATTGAAAGAGTGTAGGTAATGGATTTGTTTGAAATTCACTATTTGATTCACTTGGAAATATTTCTGTCATCTTGGAACCATGGATCCTAGTTGATTTGCTATTTTGGAGTGACTAAATCATCCTGTACCTCTTGCTTTTAAATGAAGTTCCTATAATCCATGTCTGATTAGCTCAGTTTTTTTCACTAGATCAAGAGAATAGAAGTAATTTAGAAGCAAATGCACCTTGAAAACTAAATATATAGAATTCTAAATAGGTTGTTGGACAGTGTGGTTAAGTTCAGTAAGTTGTTGGCAGAACAACTGGTTTTGGATTCAATATTATGAATATGAACTATTTGATTTATCTTTTTCACATTAAGCTCATCCAGTTGGAAAAGATCAATTTTAATGTTCTGCAAAACTGAGCATTACTTTGAAAATCTTGAACACATACTTTCTTTCCTTCTAAATTTTAGTGTACCATTTGTTGTTTTATATTTGATATTCTGTAAAATAAAATTAAAACATCTTTAACCATCTGGTAGTTTTGTGGATAATTTAACAGATATCCACTTGTGGCAGTTTATTTCAATGTAGTTCCAATTAAACACTGATTTTTAAGTACTAGAATTCCATTCTGAACTACTATTGTGTTGCCATCGTGTATCTCTAATTGTCCATAAGCTTAACTGTAATTGAGGTAATTACGGGCAACAAAAACTCAATCTGGGACTCTTGCTCATTACGAAACTGCTGTTGCCTACATGTGGTGGGTATAAAATGGCTAACCCATCGATTTCTAGTTGTTAGAACCAATGAAATATTTATGGGCATTACACAGATTTTCTATCAGTTTTTGCTAACTTTAAATTTGCCTTTTAACTGTCAAAAGAAGCTACCACAGCCCCTTGTCAGTTTTGATAGAGTGTGAGATCTGAGACCACCTAACAGATCTAGTGAGTCTGTTTATAAGGAACAGACAACAAATTCACCATGACATGTTCAATCATATCTAGACTACTGTGAGAAAAAAAAAATTTTTCTGGAATGACAGGGGCATATAATTTCCCTAATTAATAAGAAGGGAATGATTTAAATAAACATTTAATTTTGAATTTTTCTAGCAATCTACCACTTGAAAGAGCAGAACTATGACCCCAAACAAGGTA